AATTCGATTCGTTCGACGATAATTCTTTTATCGCGAGGAATCTAGCGATCGGCGGAGAAGGTATAGGTGTTTGATAGATTGCATCGACGAGAAACCGAGTCGGATGCCCCATGGGTTGCACGTGACGTAATTGAATAACGAAAGACCGATGAAATATGAAGCCCATGGCGAGCTGTAAGTCTTGCTCGGGTACTTTTATCTCACGCGAGACCACCGGATAGGTACTCGCCTAGCGGGTTACCCGCTCGAGCCGGCGTCGGGTCCTCTGATAAATTCGACCGTGTCACCGTGCACGATAGAATCGAGCGGAAAAAATCATTTGGTGAGACACGAGAAATGGGTGGAAATAAAAATACGGCCCGATGACGGGTGCAAACCGAATCAAATATAATTTCTCCTCACCTGTTTTTCCATTTCGATCGGTCATTTTCTTCTAGCCCGTCGTCGTGCAGTAGTGAAAGCTTCTTTTCACCGACCGGTCGATCAAAAAATACACGCGCGTCTATCGCGATCACCCGTTCAACCTGTTTCCAAATTGCGTTATTCGGGTCAGACGTGGACTGAACGTTCAAGGAAACCTTATTCTTTCGTTTTCTTTCTTTCCCTCTTCGACTACGTTCTAGCCTGGAGACAATCCGCTGGTTAAATTCGCCTTCGCGATGTGTAACTACCTGATTTTCGAAAATTATATTCACGTGTCGCGTTACCGGCAATTCCGGAATGCTCCGAGAAATGTTATGCGACCCACGAACGCGTGTTCGCCGCTCAGCTGTTGCGGCCTTAAACACCCAAAATACATTCGAAGCTGTCTGGCAAACGCGAATAGACGAGCGAGAGCTGAGCTGATAATCGAAATCGAATCGTCCCATTCTAATAGAGATCATTCAGATTCTTATTTCTATTTAATAGTACGACTCGTTTGATATCAATCGTCTTAAGATTTATGAATAATAATTATCTAAGGGAATTAGCATTAAAATTTAATCATTTGTTCAGTCCTGCTCCTCGTTTGAACGCACGTGAACAGGGCGTGCGACTTCGGCAAACATTTCACACTATATGCAGATTGCAGTCTTATTTGCGTTGCATTGCTGTATTTTGTTGCAAATGTATACGAGAATACATTTAAGCCTGATTGTGATACAGCAAGGTTGTAGCCTGCATAAGTGTGCATGGGAAATTAGCACGGCAATTGCAGCAGAATATTTTTTCCTGCAAGTGTACTCACCTAAAGAAACAAAATTAATTTTAAATTAACATTTTATACCGTTGTTGTTGTGAGAAATGACAAAATTTTGAATTTTTCTTTGTTTTCGTTGAGAGGGAGAGGGTGTATGATAACAATGAAACAATAAAAAGTATTTTATCACACCGCGTTTCCCTTTCTACAGTTTGTTCTTCGTTATTCGTTTCATAACAATGTTTTACGAGCGTAATTTTACGCGCTTTATCTTTGTGTTACGTTTTCACGGTGTTTCTGTTATGTACACTAGCTTCTCTGTACGTCTGGCATCTGACCTAGACCTCGATAAATGTAGCACAGATCATTTCAATTCTAAGTTACAAGGAAATCTACTCCGATTTCGGTCGAATTTTTTCTCTTATCAATCATTACAAACCAATTACATTCTACATTTGATAGAATGCTCATCATTATTCAAGTATCTCAGATATAAAATATTTGTGAATATTTAAAAACAAAAATTAATTGTATTTAATTTTCAAATGATTTGGATCGATGATCGGGCTGATATTTTATTTCTATACATACATTAGTAAAATGAGAAAAATATCCTGCGTATACAGAGACGATGGTCGTCCTTCGTGCAGTGAAATTTAAACGAACGGCTTTGCTCCCTTCACGAAACTTTCATATCGCATTCTCGTGCGCAATTCAACCTTTCGTTTAAGTGGCAAAGAAGAGAAGTGGGGATCCTCTGTGTCCTCGATACGTGAATGTCCGTGAGAGAAGTTCCCTTCCTCCTTGAGGATCACGATCGCTTGTCTCTTGTCATACCCTGTATAATTTCATTGCGTTTGCCGTCGCGATAAGAATCGTACGCGGCACGGCAGGTATCGATAGAAAATAAATCATGTTCATGAAATAAACGAGTTATAATTAAAATTGAAAATTACAAATGATAAAAATGAATACCCGGAGCTCGAAATACGGCTCCATTGATACAACGCTCGATAAACAACATTCGTTTATCGTTTCGTCATTAGTGACCGCGTTAGGACCGGTTTCGGCGGGAAGAAAAAAAAAGGAAAAGTGAAAAACGGAGCGTCGAAAAAAAGTTGTGAGAAAAGAGCAAGAAAATAAATATCCCGTGACGGAGTGTTACATTATCGAAAGCGGGTAATATCCTTCGAGCGATTGCGAGGTTCAACTCGCTGCACCGTCATGCGGATAAAGGGTTTCGCAAGCGTTGCCACCCGCTTTGCCGATTTATTACAATTTTCCAGTCAGATTTCAGTTAGTCGATTATATTGAATTCGCGATTCCACCGGAGTAACACCCCCACGGCGTTCGATCGCCGTTGTCACGTATTCGTGACTTTGATAATTTTTTACACCAATTGATAATTTTGAAACTTATTCCAACGTAACGCTAAAAGAAACATGAAGTGACAAGCGTTTCGTGCTCTAAGGGGTTAATAAATTCAGCTTCGGTAAGCTGTTTCGAAATAAAAAAAGAAAGAAATATCGGTTCCAAAATGTCAGAAGGCGTTGCTGATCGACGGCTACTACACACGGGGAAAAAGAAAGGATTTCGTTGGTATCGAGGAAGAGAAAGGAAAGAGGGGACAGGTTGAGAAGGAGCCGGGGAGAGGTACGCGGTGGACGTTGCGAAATAAGCTGGTTGTGCTCGACTGACTTTCGATGAAATTCAATCGGGGAAAAAGCTGCATTGCTCTCGTTTAATACGGACAGAGAAGTTAATTCTCGAAAGCATGGAGAGCCATGTTTCTTGCTTTGCTCCCCCTCCACGAACACGTTTTATAAAAGATAAATGAATTCTGCTGGTGTATCGAAACGATTGACAGTACGACTGGTATTACAATAATAATTGTAGAATTATTGAGAAACGATAATAAGTTTGTATGTAAAGATTAACGTAATTAGCGATAACCTTTCTTATTTTCGAACGTCTGGGGAGAATGAGGACAAACACGCGTATGGTTACATGTTATTTGTTTGAAATTCATGGAGAATGCCATAAACATCTTTTTCAAATTCTACGAAAGAGACACTCTGTTGTCGTCAATCCAAATTTGCAGATGCACGAAGAAAATTCAGACTTTTGCTAACTGCACACTCGCCACTGTATCCCGAAGGAGACTTACGTTATCGTGAACGTCTGAAAGTTTTCACCGGGTTTCGTCGCGGACCATTTGCCATTTCCACGTTCGATACACACCGGATATGGTAATGCTCGTTGCATCCCTTCGAAACAAGATTTTATTGCAGCGACCTTCGGATACACGCTCGAAGTCGCTTTATAACCCGCTTTCGCGAGCCATAATTGCTTGTTTCTTTGCCTGAATGGGCAAAAAGGAGAGGTTTATTTTAGCGTTAAAGAACGATGGAAATTATTTGCAAAGTATCAAGTGTAATCCCCCTTCGTTTCCTGTCTGTACCAAAACAGTTGATTCTTATTTTTCCTCGATACGGTAATCTGCAGGAAGATTTGAATTTCTACGAGGCATCGTAATCTCATACCTCCGTGTCTGATTCGAGTCGCACGAAATTAAGATTCCGTCCACCCATAAAGAATTCCATTCATCGCATAGTGGCCGCAGTCTCGGGGCAAAGATTTCCCACGTGTCAACGAAGCCATCAACGCGTGCTCATCAAGTAACAATTACGTGTACACGCGATCGATCGAGCGTCGTGTCACTTGAAAACGATCCTTGGCCTTTGAAGCATTAAAATACAGCCACGGAAAGCAAATATCATTCGGTGACGTGCAATTCACGTGCAATTTATCGCACGCGCATCGTAAAGACTAACGTAAAATTCAAGCGAATGTTGCTGCAATCATTTGAATGACATTCTGTCTCGTTCGTTTATAGGATTTCGATAACGTCTCGACATGGCCCATGCACGAGCAACCTTATTATCTTGCGAAATTATTCGAGTAAAAATAGATTTCGAAATTGTTCGCCTCCGGATGGTCGGCGACGCACGGTATTTGAGCACCTAAGGCTCCCAACCTTTGTTTCATCGAAGCGAAAAGTACTAAATACCAATGACGTACGATTTTAATTGATACATTCGAGTTAGCCATGCTCGATCACGTAGATTACACGGTAATCCAGCAAACTCCACGCTCGTGCCGTTGCAATTTCGCATCGTTTATCGGTACCAATTTCGCAGCCGACGAATAAACGCATCCGCACGCGTGCTCGACGCAAGGCTGAACGAGCTCTGAATTATCTAGCGCGCTGATAACCGGGAACACAGCGCACCTTTGTTATCCGACAAAATTATGGCTGTGCAAGACCGCGTCAAAGCCGACCAAATGGCGTAACCGTGAAACTGTATCGTCCAGGGCAAAGGTAATTCGACGCGGTGCTTCTAATCACCGTTCTTCCGTTTATTCCGTAAACGGGAACGTGTTACAATGAAAAATTTTAATTAGAAATCTAGATATTCCTGGTATAAAGATATCGCAAAGTACCACTTATGGCATATCACTTCGAAGCTTAAGCTACGGATTAGTACGTATTGTCTATTATCTATTAAATCAAAGAACATAAAGCTTATTGAATGCAAACTCGAGAATACTTAAAGGCACTTAAAGACGGACATATAAATAGATAGATGGACAGGTGAAGATATATATACCCGTCGTGGATAGGTATACGTATGGGGAGTAGGTATATAACTGGCTGTGTCACGTACGCGACAGGTACACCATAAGCTGTTTCGTAATTTAATGCGACCTTATTAGCAGGATGAAGGCACACGAATAACCGACGGTGTTCTGATTTCAGCAACTCTCCTTTCCATCCACGCAATCCAGTCATGGATCGGCAGGCTTCACGTTCAGCCTTTCCGGCAACCAGGACATCGAGGGTCCTCAGGGTGGCTTCGAGTGCATCCAACAAACCGGCCCCAAGTGAGTTATACCGTACATGTTTTATTCTATCTTTCTCTGCTATCTGTTCTTCCTTGCAGCTTCAATCAAATTATTTCAAATGTAATTTTATCAAATTTTCACATTCTTTTCTTTAACATATTAAACGTTACAATAGAGACTATTTAAATTGCAAGAATAGAATAGCGAAAGAAACCCAAGACTTTCTATATAAAATAATCGTTATCGCGGCCGTTTCTCTGCCCAGGAGTCTGGAGAGCCTTGGCGCATTGCCGTGTAAAATGCGGATACAGGCGAACGACGACGTGTACGAGACAACCAGGCATCGAATGGCCGTCGCCGAGGAGAATAACAAGAACAAATGGTAAGTCTGGAAGATGCGGATATCGAACGAGGTTACCTCTGATCGATCGTCCATCAGACGAAGGTAGATTTTTCCACGACGCACTGGTTATAGGGGGAAAAGCCTCTTTTTACGCTCGTTCGTTCTATTTCGAGCACCATCCAAGTGTCATATTCGTACGCATTCCGGATTGATAAACAAGTTGAGCGACGTTCAGCTATTTATAGAGACGGTGTTTATCAAGATACCACGGTTCACGCGATCCTCCGATAAATTGAACGTCCGGATTCGTTTATGTAATCTATCGCTCGTTCCGTAATGTTCGTCGATTAGGCAGGGTAAGGAGTCCGGTGTCTGAATTAATTAACCCTTTCGCAGACTGTGACGGTCATTTTCTTGATTTGTCAATGTAAAAAAAAAAAGAGAATGGCTCAGATTTTATAAGAGTTAAAAGGAAAGATTCCATCCTGTACGAGTCACGCTGTGCAATAAAACCTCGAAGTCGAACGCGTTAAATCGTTTCAACCTTCAGTGAAACATCTGTCCTTTTAATTTCGATTCAACGATCTTCTAGTCGATCGATTCTTCTCCTTTTCGCGACAGACGAGAGTAAGAAGGCGAATCCGACTGAAAGTCAACCAGTCCGGAGAATATTGCGTTCGGAGGTCGGCTAATTTGTTTAACAGCTTCATGGCCAAGGTTAAGAATGCCTCACAAGTGCTTGCTTCGTCACGAGCTCTTCTAACCCTTGATTCTCTCGCTTTTGCACCACGTAACAACGTATTATCGTGCTACGGTTCACGGGGACAGATTATGTAACGAAAACGAACGGATTTTCGCGTCGTTGAGAATAAAAGCCGATAAAGTGGCAAATTCCATTGGCATTTGACCGGGTGCAATGCACCGACTGCATCACCAAAGCCAACTCCTTCAATACCATAGATATATACACAACTCTTGACTATGGGATTAGGATTAGAACGACGCGGAAAAATTTTCCACTTTCATAATTTATATATTTTTTTTTGTGGGTGATTCGTTATCTTGTATCGTCTAGAAACGCGTCGAGTAATCCATCAGCATGATGGATGAATAGTGTACAATTTTTTTAATACGCAGCTAATATACCTGTACGTACCTCCGGTAGATTTCTCTGTCTCGTAATTATTGCGAGAAAGTATTTTTAAGAATCGTTTATCGTTGGAGTAATTTTCAACTGGAAGTGACGGAGTGAAATGAACGTGGGCGTTGAAGATCGTTATTTTTGCTCTTGTTTCATTCAAGCACCGTGTATAGGCTCGCATAGTTTCGCATATACCACTTTCCATTATGAATATTTAATATTACGAGAGAACTAGTTCATTCGCTTCGAAGGAAATTGTCAGTCATTTTTAGCTTGGAATTATTAAATGTCGCGAATTTTAAGAGAGTCGATCGAAAGTAACGTTATGCCCTATTGAAGTGCAATTTTGAAGCTCTGGAATACTATAAAAGTTTGTCGTTTCTATTTTCACCAGCACCAGGGTTATCAAGGCAAACGGACCGGATATCGGACGCAAGGTGAAGGTGAAATCGAGCGGACGACCCATACCGTCCCCATCGAATTCGAGGCATCGGGAATCGACGAGCATTCCAACTTCCGGTAGTCAGTCTAGACTGTCTTCCTCTTACAAGCCAGCCGCTAGCAACCCACCACCGTCCCGAAATCAACCGGAGAAAAAGATCTCCGATATTATGCGCAGGCCATTGAAGTAGGTTCAGGAAAAAATGATCAATTTTTATTTCATAGTAAACGTACAGACGGTTTGAAAGATTTTCTTCGTTGGCAATTATTTAAATGCCTTTTTCATTTGTTAATAGGGAGAGACTCATACATCTCCTCGCTCTGAGGCCATACAAAAAGCCTGAATTGTATGATCGCATAAATAGAGGTAAGACGCGAACAATGGATAGTTGATATCACCTATTTAAATCGTAATTCCTTTATTTCTTTTTCAGAGGGCATCAAGGATCGAGAACGTAACGTGATGACGACGATTCTGAAACAGGTAGCCTTCATGAGGGACAACACGTATCATTTGCACAGGTACGTTTGGAACGACGTGCAGGAAGACTGGCCTTATTATACCGAACAGGAGAAAGCGATGCTGAAGAGGAGAAAACCTCAGAATCTTACTCCTCCTGGTTCCAGCGACGGTGGATCCAGCGGTACGTATCCCGTTTCGCGTTCTTCGTAGAATCATTATTCAACGAATTCATCGTTTGCGAATGTAAATTATTATCGCAGGTAGCGGACAATCACCAAATTCCACGCATCCAGGTTCCCCGCCCGCGATCACGGCGCCTCCACCTTCTTTGTTGAGCAACAAACGACCAGGCTACTATCAAGGCAACGACGGATTACCTACGAAGAGACCCCGGATATCCCATTACAAAAAACCGGAGACAAATTCCGGCTCGTCGAATGCAGGAGAGAACGGAAGGACGGCTGGTGGTGGTAGTACTAACAGTGTTAACAGTGCGGTTGCCGGTGGAGCCGGTGGTAATAGTGCTAGTGGCAGTGGTGGTGGGAGCGGTGTGGCTGATGGCTGGGACCAGAGGCAACATCAGCGTGATCGTCGTAACGAGTATCGAGCTGAAAGAACAGCGAACAGTGATGTGCTGCGGGGTGGCAACTACGGCACTGGTAAACCGTGCCTGACGCCTACCAGTGATAGTGAAGAGACCGGCCAGATAGGACATCGCGATGCCATCGTAGCGAGCACCGGCACGTCCGGGAGCACCGCCAGCAACAACGCGTCCAACAGCCATAATTCTCACAGTAGTGTAGCCCATAGTAGTTCACTGAGCGTCGGTCGTCACCACCATGCCGGAAAGTCGGCGACGTCCGGTGCCGATGGCAATGGGTCGACGTCTGTGGATTACGCGGCACGTTCGATGCCCAGTGTCGTGAGTGAAGGTGGTAGTGCAGGTAGTTACAGTGGTAGTTCGAATGGAATACTCGCCGAGAGGAGAGACAGGAGCGATCGAAACGACAGGGGTCGAGGTAGCGACAGGGATCGGGAGACTAGGAAAAGAAACAACGCGGCCAGCAGTAACAATTACACCGATCTTACAACACCCGACTATGCCGGCAACGAGGACAACACCGTCACTACGTCGACCTGCAGTCTCGATTTGGCGGAGAGTCCTAAATCATCGGAGTATCCGGACTACCTCACGTGAGTATGCTTATCTATCGGAACTTTTTCCTATTTATTTCCCACCGAATCGAACGTATACTTACGCTCCGCCTCGTCTGTTCGCAGGTACTACACGACAATAAGCAGCGCGGAACAGAGAAGACGTTACAAGGCGGAATTCAACGCCGACTACGAGGAGTATCGAAGGTTGCATGCTCAAGTAGCTAAGGTGTCTAAACGATTCGCACAGCTTCAGGAACGATTGAAACAGGAAGAGGCTTCTGGTAACTGGGACGAATACGAGGTATATAGAAATTATAATATTTATTCGCACGGAAAAGTTTGAAAGTAATGTTAATCAGCGATTATCAATGATTTCGTTTTGTTTCAAACAGGAAATAAGGCGGCAAATTCTACACGATTATAACGAAACGAAACGGGATCCTGTACACAAGGAGACGAAACGTCGGTTTCATTATTTGCACGAAAAATTGAGCCACATCAAGCGACTGGTGTTAGAGTACGACACGCAAAACTGTAGCGGCAACATGATGACGAATAGCAACAGCAACGGCAACGCGAATGGTAGCAACGAGATGAAGGGGGTGGACAGTTTGCACTACTGACACAAACTGAAAGGGCCGCCTGTTATCCTCTACCTTTTCTCGGTTGCCGGTACGCTGCTGTCTTCGTTGTCGCAGAATTTGCATTTTCTCGGCATGTTCCAAGGCTGATCTTACGGTCCACATGGTTCCTGAGTTCTATCGCCGAAACAAGTCAAGTACTCTCCGAGTCGCCGGGGTTGCAAGAAGAAGATATTAATTCGCATCACAGTTGGAAACCTTTCACGCTGTTAACGACCGTGGGCGGGTCGAAGATTTCTTATAACACTGACTTGTGCGCGACTGTGATCTCTTCGACTTACCGCGTGATCGCCAGCGATCCTCGATAAACGCTCGCCTTTGCTATTTCGACCAAAATGGTTAAACCACACCGACGAGGGGCTTTACGACAATCGGTACGTTTGAAGAGAAAAAGAAGAAAGGAAGTAAAAGAAAACATTTAAAAAAAAAAAAAAAAAAAAAAAAAAATAGAAAATCCATCCGAAGAGAGAAAACGAAGATAAGAAGAATAGAGGAATTCGCGGAGAAAGCCAGGTATACATGAACCAGGCGAGCTGAAAGTACGCAGAGAAATTATCTTTTTTTGTTTAAAGCTGTCCTCCGACGAGACAGGGGATGATTATGGGAAGAGGTGAAGATAGAAGGCATATTGTGAGAAAGCAGTAAATTAATTCTATTAATTAGTTACTTACCGTGCGCACGTCCAAGTGTGTCGTCCAGTTTAAGAGTACGATAGATTAAAATGATAACCACAATTGCGAATGTGAGAAGTGGGTCCAAAAAAAGGTAGTAGGGGCTTATCACGTGCCACGTCCGGAGGAGACTGTATTTCCTTTTTTCCGCCGGAAGGAAAAAAGGGCTCGACTAGCAGAGACTGTCCACGAGAATGCGCGTGTGAATCCTACACGAAGATCCGCGTGCTGTCCGCTCATTTTTCTTTCTATCTTTTTTTCCTCTGTTTCTTTCTTGTTTCCTTTTCTTTGTTTCTTTTTTCAAGCAAAAAGCTAACTGGATTAATCTACAGCTAAGGAGAGAGAGAGACCTTTACGTTTCGTCAATCTATAGGACGATCCTTTGTTGTTTCTTCGTTCTTTAATTTCTTCACCGTTCGGGCTACCTTGACTGGTAAGCAAAATGGCACAACTTACAAAGAGAGAAAAACAAACAAAAAAACCATACACACACACAAATAATATGCAAAAGAAAGTAGGGACGAGGTTTTGTTAAGTACTCTTTTGTGTCTCTTAGAATTTACCTGCCATAAAGTGATATAATCGAGCGAACCAATTTAATTCTAAATTGACAAGCCACGATAGAAGCAGAACTGAAGCTAGAAACGGGCCTTTTGGCCCTTCTGATTCGTGCGATCAATGGTTTCCGGTTGTGTATATCGTACGCTAGAGTAGATCCATTTTTATACAATTACAGATATTTTAAATTAGTCATCGAAAGGGAGAATGCTCAGCGCCATTCGTGGACGTTGTACACGCGGAAGGGTTAAAATAAACAACAACAAAAAAAGATAGATAATAATTAAAACAAAAAAAAAAAAAAAAAATACGAAGAAAGATAAAGTCGAGGTATTAGAAACGGACAGGTTTCGTAGTAATTATTTAATCGTTGACGACGATGAATATAGTATACAATATTGTACATTATGCGCCAATATTACGCGTACCATTATTATTAATGACGATGAATACCATTTAATATTATTATATCGATGCTACTGCTATTATTAATTAATATTTTTCGGATAAGTAGATAAATAGGCGAGATATCTTCGTTAGAACCTAAAATACTGGAACGAAAGGAAGAAACGAAGTTTAAATATATATTATCGAGCCGATGTTTTCCATTGAATGCGAATAACGAAAGTTTATGATGTTAATGTTTCCAGTGTCTTTTGCTGTATTTTGCTTTCAAATTGTTTTTATCGTACGGTAGCTTTACTTATTACTGTTATGTCCGATCGTTTTGTTCCGTTTTCTTTATTCGATCGATTTAGAGTTGCCTTTTTTCTTTTTTTAATTTCTACACGAACGTTCTTCCACGTTTCGTCATTTTATTTCACGTTTGATGATAAGCGTTTTGTGATAAATCGAACGGAGACGAAGGACTATCAAAAGAAAGTGTGATTGCTGAATGATCTAATGATTCTTCATTGTTATCCATTTCTTTCGCGTGATCTTCCAAAACAAAAACGACGTTGATTCGAAAGGATTTACCGAATTATCGCTCGTTTCTGTTCTTGTTGCGATTACCTACGTTTTCTGTTTCGTGGATTATCGCCTTTGAACAAGTGAACGAATTTTCATTGTTCAGTAACATTTATTCTTATTTAGGCTTATAGAAGTAGGTTTTTTAAAATTATTAATCGACCAATTATCTGAATTTTCTGATACGATTATTTCATCGATAGAAATTTCGTACTGTATTTTTTACTGAAATTTTATCTTACACTTTCCTCATTTTATACTCGAGTTCATTTTAAATGAATTTCTTTGATAAGTAATTTTATGAACTGATTAACTACCATTATACATGTTTCTGTACAATGGAAATCGAGATTCGATGGCGTTTCTTTGGCCTTAACGAGCAACGAGCGAAAAGAACCTTCGATTTTGTTTTCCAAGATCCGTTGTTTGCTGTTTTATAAACAATCCGTGCAATTTGTTTGCTCATTTACGTACTATATATCCAAGTTGACCGGAGAATATCGAGGTACGTTGCACATTATCGGCGACTACCATCGATTGGTATTTCAAAATATTATCCTAAAGAAAGTGAATTCGACGTCGGTCGAGAAGAGAAAAGGAAGAAAAGAGATAATTGTTTAAAACGTTAACTCTTTGCGACGGGAAAAAAAAGATAGGATCGTCGGTGGGGAATGCATGGCACAGTATTGACAAGTATTTTCTACTGGTTGTAACGAATTTTAACGAAATGCAAAGCACACATGAGAAAAAAAAAAGAACGTCAGGATAAATAATTTAACCTATTTTTATATATAAATATATGAAAACAAATATATATATCTAGATAAATAAAAATTAAATATATATATATATACATATATACGATTATAGAATTCTATCGTGTGTGTGTTCATAGATAAAAGGAAGAATTGTAAAATATCTAATACGAAGTATATATGGGTTGTAATTAATGGTACTAGGAATCAGTTGATATATTTCGTTGTTATAAACTGAACTACGTATCGTTTTTTTCTTTCTCTTTATTTTTTGTAGATAATAATATTATAGGCATCTTATTTTCTCTTTTGCTCACGTTTTCCTTGCAATTACGAAAAAATAAATAAAAGTGAAAATGTAATAAAAATTCTGAAATATTGATTCGTTGCGTTTCCTTTCACTATCTCTTATCTCATTCATTATTAATCATCGTTCTTACGAAGCAAGGCTGGCGTACAGTGGACAGAGAACAGTATATATTAAAAAGTTCGACAGGTATTTGTATAATAAACCGAGAACAACACAACTACGAAAATAAATAAAAATTTCCAGGCATTTTTCTTCTTTTTTTAAATTTTATTTTACGATCACACTGTCATACTGTGCCATATATATTCTACTTCGGTGTACGATGGTTCAATAGAGAAAGAAAGAAATCATAGATTTCTTCTTTCGTAGAAATTATGAATTCGATCCATGATTTTTGTTGTATTCTCCTCTCTGTTTTATTTATTTTTCCATAAAGTAATCTATATTCTGCTAAATGTGAATAAACTCGTGGATTGAATTCATATTTTATCGAATTACGTTTCAATCAAATAACAAGCGGATACAGAGAAATTAATTTATTTTACAAAATTGCACAGCGCAAAACAGCAAACACCGATCCTCTGTTGGTACGTCGATGTAGCTACCTTCTAGTATTCTACCCAAAGAATTAACAAGTCGAATTACCGATCTGATATCAAACTTTCACCTTCAACAAAAAATTGATTCGCAATAATCAATCAAAACGAACGCATTCTGCAAATTACATTAATGTTCGTTACCTGCTTTGTTCGCACCTTCGAAGTTAATCAAAATTCCAAGTGATCAATCTTTTGCTTTCACCCTGTCTCATCTACTTCTTTCTGTAACAGTTGTTACTTTTTTACCGTCCAATAAATTACATCACGTTAAACGATAGGTTCGAAATTTTACAACGTACACGCGTTTTTAGAAGCCCGGAAACACATAGGCCAGGATTAAAGTGCACTCGAGCAATCCATCTTTCGATGACCGAATCTATGAGAAATATTAAACAGACAGTGCCAAAGAGACTGAGCTAAAAGACACTCAGAACTGTAGAAAATACATAGAGATCCAAGTGCAACTTAATTAAACGATGCAATAAACGCGCGTTTCTGATGCGTGTCGCAATTTCTAAATGAGATTTGATAAGATGTCCGCACGCGATACGACGATGTTCAAGTGTGAAAAAGAGAAAGAAGAGAAAAATCAACGGGCTTGTCCGATAAATTGTTCTTTCAGGCTCATGAAACTGTTATAGTTCGCGGATGTAAGTGCTCTTAACAATGCATTTGATAACTCGTAACCGATGATGATTTCTCGAGGGTTGAACGGTTTCTTTTTCTCAACTTCCTTAGGTATTTGGTAGTTAAAATTAGTTATCGATAATGAAATATCGTAGCCAGGTATCGTAGATCGCGCGATCGATTCGCGCCTTCGAAATTAATCAAAATTCCAGTCGATCAATCTTTCACTTTCACTTTCTTTTCTCTGACTTACTTTTCGTAGATATTAAAATTCCTTTCCATTGCATTTTATTCGTCATCGAGCAATAGCAGTGCCTTCTTTCCTTTTTCGTTACCAAAAATCCCCCTCACATCTGTTATCAAAGGACTGTGGTTCCTTTATTCGTTTTTTATCCTCGTTTTTATGAACTGTACTAGTGCAAAATGAAATAGGTGTCTCTGTACCCTTTTTTTATCGATAGGTTTCTTGGAAAACCCTTGGAACGATGAACTTATTATCGCGTGAAGATCTTTGAAGCAACAAGATCGCGAATAGCGATTCACGCTCTATCACAAAAGATATATACGTAGTGTCTTATCGTCTAAGTGTCTATCGAGTGATATTTAACTTGAAGTAGAAGATATAGTTCACGTGAATCGATGTGTTATTGACTCGCTCGCATTCTATCGATTCTAATTCGATAATAATGCTACAAATGTTTTTCGTCTCTCTCTCTTTCTCTCTCTTGTACAGTTTCTTTGATTTGCGCGAAACTTACGGTCGAAATGAAAAGAAAAAAAAAAAATAATAAGAGCAGAAAATCCAAGTGCCAATTCTAGCGAAACGAGAGAAAATGACTATACATATAATATAAAAAATATATATATATATACACAATATACCTAGCATAATTTTACGTGCATTATTTCTTACGCGAATAATATCAATACCAGCGAACACTGGCGAGAAAGAAAAGGCTTGAAAG